TTCTGGGAGTTGAAGTCCAGACATCTTCAAGTTGACAAGGTTGAGAAACACTGGGCTAAATAATTAACTCATAGCATTTCAAAAACAGAACAGGCTGGCTGAGGCTACTGGAATTTAGCCACAGCTTCCCTTCTACCTTCTGATTTCAGGCAATGGCTCTTGGGATTATACAGCCCTGTTCTGAAATCCGGGAAGGGCCGTCGGATTAAGTAAAGAATGCAATCTTTCCTTGATTCTAGACAAGCAAACAAAACTCAAATGGGGAAGTTCTCGTTTCTCCCCTGGATAGCGCCTAAAATGGCTCACTTTTTTTCCGGCAGAAGTCCAGCTAGAGCTGACCTTCAACCCCACTTGTCTGCCTGGTTGTGGAAGAACGGGATTAAAAGAAATTAGTGTCTGCTTTTAGGTACTGAGGCTTCCTGTGCCATCTTGAATCAGGCTTTATGACTGATGGAAACTAAGATTAGTTTAAGTATATCAGCTTCAAAATTAGACACAGCTTGTTTAAAAGTAACACCGATTAATCAGAATGACCTCCTAAACAGAGGTCAGTTCAAATCTCCTGGTTATATTTAAGGGAGATGAGATTTACAGTATGATCGGAAGGAGCCTAACTGTACCTTAATGTAACATCTGAATGCTGCCTGCTGTACTCCTATTCTGAATATCTTTTGAATAGTTGGCTGTTCAAAAGAACTCATCTGGCAAATTTTGTAATCGTCTGGGACAAGGGAGAAGGCTGCGAGATATCCAAATTGGGATCTGTTTTTAGAACAGATCAGTGGTCAGGGTCAAATTCACATCAAAGCTACAGTCATGGCTGTGAAAGTAACTTTGTCTGCCACAAGATACGCTCTTCCCTTGCACTTCTGTTAAGCATTACAAAGAGAAAAACTGAGAACTAGTTTTATTTGGTTTTGGTATGATCAGAATAAACAAAAATAAAAGGCTGGATTTGTACATCATAAAAAATAAAAATAACTCCTTAGTTGACCTAGACCTAGGAACTGTGGTAGCACAGTGGTTNAGCCTGGTGAGATTTGAACTGCCAAATTGCAGGCAGCCGGCAGTCAGTAGAAGTAGCCTGCAGTACTGCACTCTAACCACTGAGCCATGAAATGAAGCTGCTTCTCTAGCACTACCCTCTGCTTGAAACAAAACTGGGCGGGTGGGTGAGAAAACTCACCCCACAACAACCCCCTCACAAGCCCCAGCTCTGCACTGGCTTTAAAACACAACAAGAGCTAACCAGACAACGGTGTTGGCGACGGTTCCTGTGTCTGCTGAGCGAGCTCTGGAGGAGGCAAGTCCACCTTCTCCTCCTCTGGGCCCCACCGGCTTTTCCGCTTTTTCTTCGCACTGGATGCGGCTGCCTGCTTTGGCAGCGAAACCGTGGGTACTGCTGTTGTGGAGGAGGAGGAGGAAGAGGAGGAGGAGAAGGAGGAGGAAGAAGAAATGGAAGAGGAAGGTCCTCCTTCCGACGAGGCCTTGCGCTTCAGGTTGGCTTCTGATATTGGTGGCATGCCCTCGATGTCACTGTTTGCTTTCCGGAATTCCTCCAGCTTCTGCTGGTAATACTTGTATCCTGAACTATTGGGCTCGTACAAAAATCTGCAAGCATACAACAAAATAAACAAGAGTGTTAGCTGCCACCTCATGCTTGCACTTCGCTACCATTCGGTATCAGTTGCCATGAACCTTGGGGGTGGGTGGGGCTGGATGGGACGGAGGATGCTTCAAGGGAAACGAAAGTTCACTGTTTCTCCCCACGATGGGCTTCAAAACTAACTAGCTGAGAACAAGACACAGCTGCATACCAAATCTACGCCTGAAGTGAGACTTGAGGATTTGGGCGTGTGATTTTCAGTTCTGGCTATGCACTACTGTAATTCCCTTGACTTCTAGTAAACTGTACCTTTCTCGACAGATGGAGCTAAGGGTCCTTCTTATTTAGGGGATCAAGCTGCATACCAAACCTACACCTGAACATCTTGTTTGAATTTGATTCGACAGGGAATGAGCAGTCCTGGGAGGCAACTTGGGGAGGGGAAAGTGAGACTTGAGGATTTTGATGTGAGATTTTTCAGTTCTGGCTAAGCACTACTGTAATTCACTTGACTTCTAGTAAACTATACTTTTCTCAACAGATGGAGTTAAGGGTCGTTCTTACTTAGAGGATCAAGCTAAGGCAGGTCTGACACAGAGACAATAAATCCAGCAAGCTGTCATTTACAGAGACAATAAACCCAACAGCTTATTAGCTATTTTCAGGAGGGCATCTCTCTCTCTCTCTCTCTCTCTCTCT